TTAGCACCAGTCTCCTGATCACCAGCCAGCGTCATCTGCTTTCCCTGGCTCTTCTATGGAGTTTGCGTGTCTTCTGAAAGCACACTTTGTTGGTGGGCAGAAGGCAATCCTGCCAGGGCCTGCGTCTGAGCCTGAAGAAATGTTGCTCTCCTACCCATAGAACCTGGTTTGTCCACGTGCCTAAGTAAATATCAGTTATTTAGAACAGGACTCTGGATAGATATTAATCATGTCATTTTTTCAAACCTGGTGTAAAAGTTTACACTTGACATTTATTTTCCTTTCTGAATTTTCCTTTCTTTTTTTTTGTTAACAGTGAACATTTATGACTTATCTAATAAGTGGAAAAGGAAGATACATTTATGTTAAAAACTATGCAATGGTTGGACTTTTAAAAGCTATTGTGAATACAAAGGCGATTCTTTCAGGGATTAGATTATAGTTAAAATTTCTGTGGTTGCCCTTAAGATCTTAAAATTCTATTTCTTCTAGCTCACTTTATTTTGATTTTTCTGGTAGAGTTAGGATATCGATTATCTCCTTTGTTATATAGTATTAGCTCTTTTGACTTTTATCAGTGTCATACCAATTACCCATTCATAATTATGCTCAGCATTGAAGTGTGAGATCTACATTGTGTGTGTGTGTGTATGTGTGTGTATTGGGGGTGGTGGGGAGCGCTGGGGAAGGAGAGGGAAGATTTTCAACCACTCAGCTGTTTTTCAAACACATTTTTTCCTAACATAATTGCGAAGGACATTTCTCTTCTGAATCTGCACTTGACCCAGTGTGGGTTCCCTCTCCTCTCCGTGGTGGGACCACATCCTCTTTAGTTACTATATATGTTGAAGCTGTCAAGAAATATGAACAAGGACATGTGAAGTTCTGACCGCAAAGTGTTGCTTCCCTTTACCTTATTTCATTATATCCATCCCCCCCATCCCCGATTTGGTCCAGAATTTTAGAACATCAGGAATCTTTGAGATCTTCCAATTCAGTACCCTCAAGTCATAGAGCTAATAAAATAAGAATAGCTAATGTTAAAGAGCACTTACTAAATAGCAGGCACTATGCTAAGTGATTTATATGTATTATCTGATTTAATCCCATGACCTCATCAGGTAGGAATTCATATTGACTTGATTTTACAGAAAAGCAAATTAATAACTTGTTTCAGGTCACGTAGTTAGAAGGCAGCACAGCTGTGTCTCTGCTGTAGGTGGATGTTTCACCACATCTGTTTCACTTGGACCACCACATTGCTGTCTGAATTCTGGGCTTTGTGAGTGACATAGGTTTACCACCTAGCTTTATTCCTCAGGTTTGTTTTAGAGATCATATCCCTAGCCCCTAGTTGGGAGGGCTCTGTCCTTCAGTTCTACCTTATTTGAGATCTGCAAAGGTCAAATCTGACTCCATTGTCACTCTCTGGTACCCACAGGCCAAAGCAAACCAAGATCCCAGCACATCAGCGAACAGATGGGTTGTGTCCCATTAGTGGGTCTGGAGAGAGCGAAGAAGACACTAACGCCAAGGCGAAGAAGGCCATAGACTGTATGTCTCTTCCCAAAGAGCAACTGGCTCAATCCCAGAAGAAAATAGCTCAACTGATTAAGGGAAAAATGGTAAAACAAAAAACTCACTGGATTTTTCCATTTGAAAATATGTCCATGACTAGAGAAGCTCTTCCTTAACTGTAGACTACAGCACATGAGGGAGAGGAAGGTGTTATTTCTTAGTAAGTGGGAGGAAACCAAGCAGAGCAGAGCTGGGGAGCCAGCCCGCCTTCGGGCTCCACACTGGGGCACTGCGCATGTGCTTCCTTGAGTATTTGCCCTCTGAGATTTAAACTCAGCATTAACATTTGGTTCTTCCTGTTGCTGTTTGATTACCTTTAATTAAAGAACAGTTTTTGATTCCTCCTGAAAGGTTTCAGGGTAATATCTTTTGGGTAACAAAAAGGCCAGAATAGTGAGGCAGGAAGCTGGGAACAAGGGGAGCCAGGCAGAGTGTAGGCTCAGGCCTGGCAAGGATGTGGTAAGATGCCTGCGGGGACAGTGGAATCATAAGCAAAGCAAAGGACCGAAAGTGGGCAGTAGCAGCAGGGCTCAGAGAGTCCGGGCATCCATCCGTAAGAGCACAGCAAGGACTTGGGAACTAGGACCTCAGAGCAAGGGTTTACAAGAGGGTTCAAAATCCAGGGACCTGCAGCAGCATGACAGTGACCCTCATTATTAAAACACAGACACTAGCCTGCACCCAGAGCATACTTCACCAACAGAGGAGCTCATACACTGACTTGCCGGCCATTCCTGGCCACGGGGAAAACATGATCTTAAAGCACATGTGTGAAGAACAGTCTGCAGATGGCTTAGGAAAGCCTGAGAGGCACCTCGGAGGGAGATAAAAGAAGCTGATACCCCCTTAAATGGATGTATCTCTGAATTTATCTCTGTAAATCACCCAGAAACTTGAAAAGGACAGTCATCCTGGCCTGGACCCACTAGGATTTCATGAATCTAGGCTAGAATGATCACTTCTACAAAGACGAGTACCAACTGCCGTGGAGTGCAGGGGTGGGCTTTTGAGGCGTGACAATGACTTGACCAGCTTGGATACCGACAAAGATTCAGAGTTCAAGTGAATCTAGCCCAGCCCAGTGCTGGCAGCCCCGAAGGGCAGGAGGATTGGCAGTGGCAGTGCTGGGTTGACCTCTGGAGCCCATGTGGACTGTCTCTGTTTCCCCAGGGCAGGGAGTCTAGGGATGGATGAGGACAGAACGTCCAGCCAGGACACAACTCAAGGCTTTGGACCCCCATTCCAGCGATCTTCCGTGGTGTTCTGCTCCTCCCTCAGAATAGAACTCAGCATTTACTGTGGTCAGCCCAGGGAGAACCCTCAGAAATTCGGACTGAGTGGATGTTTTTAAAGCGTGAGGGGAAATGTCCCTCTAACATTGTTTGCATGTGTGTATTTGAGCTGGGAACAGGTGAAGCATCAGGTTAGGGAGGAGGCGTTCTTGGATACTGTGTCTGTGTGTAACTGTGTAAATGGGTCGGCACGTAACAAATTTGGATCACTCTGATGCTGACTCACTTCCCTTACAGTAACTCCCATGAGGTGGACGGTGTAGATTTCCAAATAGAAAAGGAAGCTGGAACTCAGGATAATCTTGCCCCAAATACCGCAATTAGTGAACAATAGAACCAGGGCTGAAGCGCCAGGCTTTTGAATCTGGGAAGTGCCGTTTTCCCCTCACCAGGAGATAAATGCCTGTCTTTGTCAGTTGGTGCAGCCAGCTGATGACTGTGTTTGTAAAGCCACTGACACCTATGACTTGAAGATGCCATTCTGTGATTTCTTAGAGAGCTCTCCCTGTCAGTTCTACAGGGGCAGGGGGCTCTTTTCCCACCCCATCTTTATCCTTGCCGATAGAGAAGTGATATACTTAATGAATAATGAGGCCCTTCTCTGTGCACTGGGCATACAGTAGTGAACATGAGAAAGAAACTTCTGTTCTTGAGGAATTTACTTTCTAATTGGGGAGACAGATAATAGACAAACAAACAAACAAATACTTAATTCACTATCAGAGAGAGGTAAGTGCCATGAAGAAAGAAATCAGATATATAATGGGACAGTAAATGATGGGGTGAGAGGCTGCTTTAGATAAGGTGGCCCAGGAAGTTCTCTCCAAGAGGAACAAAATGGAAATGAAATGAGAGAGTGAGTGGTGTGTAAGAGGTTGCCAAGCTGGGAGAATAGTAGATGTAAACGCTGAGTTAGAAGTTAGTTTGCCATGTTCAGGAACATCAGATGTGTTTAAAAATCCATTAAGTTTATAATAATAAGAAACTAGCTATTTGGCCACCATGGGAGGATGCTTGTGTATGAACTTGCTACTTTGGAAGCTGGTAAATAAAGGGAAAGGGTAAATCACGTAGCCTGTCTTTCTGAAATGAACTGTACTATTGGGTAACCAGAAAGTAGATCAGGAGAGATTTCTTTTTATAAAGTTAGCTAACAGATAAGGAACAAATGGTAGAATTAGGATATCACCACTTTATAATCTTTTATTAATTCATGTATTTGTGCTTTTATCAGAAAGAGACAAACAGAGGGTGGGTGTCTTCTGATGAAAGAACACATGAAGTAGTTTTGCTTAAAAAAAGAAAGCTAAAGGTAACTAAACTTCTCAATCCAAATACCAGTATAAAGGCAGAACGGAAAAGGGAGGGACATGTCAAGTGACACCATAAGGAGACAATCAACAAAACATACACCTTTGGGACATCCTGTAAACCAAGTAATTCCATTTCTGCAACAAATTGCAATAAAAAGAATTAGAAATGCAGGTGGAACCTCTAGACTCAGGAGACTGATCTCAGTGCATGGATCCAACTGCAAAAGAAAGATTAGATTTATAAAGTAATTATTTGATTTATGAGACTAGATAGTTGATAGTAAGGAATCATTGGTAATATTTTGGTGAGAGAATGATTTTGTGGTTTTATTTCTAAGTCCGTATTTTTTGGAGCTACTTAGGAAATAGGAGATGGCTTAGCATCTTTGATTTGCTTCAGAATCATGGAGGGAGAGGGTGGGTGAGTGAGGAGCACAGATGTGAAACAAGATTGACCGTGAGGAGTCAACCCAGTGAAGCTAAGTGAGTCATTCTCCATGCAATTTTTGTATATTGTTAAAAGTTTTTCACAATAAAAGGTTAAAAGAAGTCACTCTGACTGTGATATAGAAAGTAGACCATGGGGCCAAGAGTGATGGCAGTTAGGAGGGGCTGTTGTCACCCAGGTAAAAGGTGAGGGGGTCTTGGACCGGGTACACGTGGCAGGAAAGAGGAGAGCTTGGCTTTAGTTTTGGAATAAGGTGGAGCCGGCAGGACTTGTCAGATTGGATGTGGGATGGGGAGGGAAGAGGAGAGAAAACGATGACTGGATTCAGTCCAGCAGCCCAGTGAGAAGTCTGGGCTGGAAATTTTCTTCCTTTCCAAAAAGCGTTATGACTTGTTCGCTCTCCACAGAATACCCAAGCAAACAAGGAGCTGATTCGCTGTGTCATCCTGTCTCGGATCATTTTTGGGGAAGAACACTGGAAGTGTGCACAGGCTCTGGCCAGCCTGGCGTACGGCTACCTGACACTGAGAGGTACTTGTTTTTCCCGGCTGGGTCTGGGCGGGCCAGCCTGGGAGGGCCACACTGAGCCCACACACAGCCACAGTCCATCCTGTCCCCAGCTCGCACCTTGTCAGGAGGAGGCAAAATCCATGGGTGAGGCAGGCAGTGAAACAGGGATGTTAGAAGTAGAACTAATAATGAGGGAAAGAGGGCAGAGGACAGAGGACTGGGACCAGGAGCGTTAGGAGAAGCCGAGGCAGCGCGAAAATAGAGGAATCAGGAGGCACCGGGTCAGGGAAGCCAAGGGAGGGGAAAGGGTTTCAAAAAGAGGTGCAGCATGGTTCCAGCAGGTGCAGATGGCGGGGAGAGGTCAAATGCAGTGAAGGCTGAAGAGCTACCCATGGATTTGGCAACTGGCAAGTCACTGACACTTGGTTTGACACCAACAAGTATACCTCTTGGGCCCTGGGAGAGCCTAGAATGAGGGAGACAACTCTGGAAACTTTCTCTGAAATTCAGGCTGGAGGCGATGGCCGCTGGAACCTGAGAGGAAGATACTGGAAGTATTTGAGGGGGACATTTGTCTGAACCGGGGGCAGGCCAAATGCCGCCTCCCTTTCCTTGGAGGATGACTGTGGTGGGTCTGTGGAAGGAGGTTGGCCTTCATCTTCTGAAATCAACCCTTTCTGTGAATAGCCACAAACAGATTTTGAATTTTACTTCTCCAGTTAGATTCCAAGCTGAGTCAAGACAGGGAAACAGCAACACCACCCTCTTTTCTCTAACTCACAGTCCTCCCTGCCACCTGAACAGAGAACCACGTTCAGTTAGTAGGTTGGAGGGGGAGAAAGGGTTCCTGTAAAGGAAGGTTTTTTGTGTCCTTGTATCCCCTAGATGGGAAAAACCGCTTCTTGATTAGATGGAATACCCAGCCTTGAATCCAGCCTTCCTGAAGCCGAGCCTAGCGTTTTTCTAGAATAGTTTATGATCATGACCTTTCCGTGAGAATAGCCCAAGGTCTCTTATTTCAGGGATAGGCCTTCATTTTAACTCTTTTTTTAAAGTCTGTGGTCCTTGGAATAAAACAACTAAAACTTTGAAAAATCACAGACCTTCAAGAGGGATGAAGTGCTTGCTGAACTCCACTCAGTTTTGTTGTCAAGAATCCTGCAAATGCTTTAAAATGGACAGAATTCATGAGCCAGGCTTCTGTGTAGGCAGGACGTAGGCGTCTGGGTGTGTTCATGCCTCGCTGCACACGTGCGTGTTTTACCGCCATCAGACCTGCCTGCCCGCCTCACTTCCCTGGGAGCCTTTTCCCTCATTGGGGGATGGGAGGTCAAGCCAAAGGGCTAATTTCTCTCAATAAACGGTCTTCCAGTAAGTATTTAATGAGACACTTGTATATGCCAAGTACCGTGAAGAGGGCTTTGGGAGCCATCAGTACAGAAGGCACAGTCTTTGCCTTCAAAGATCTTACAGCCTTGTGTGGAAGGTGACCTCCGCACAGACAGTTCTGATAAAGGTACCAGAAGGCAAAAGCCGGTTAACTGACTGAGTGCAGGGCCCTGGGGAAGCTGGGTGAAATCATTTCTGGCTGAAGCTTGTAAGTGACAGATTCAGGAAGAGGTACTATACAGCAGGGCCCTTTAAAATGAGTAGGGTTGAGCAGGCAGAAGAAGGGGCGCACATTTCTGAAGAACAAGGAGGCCTGGGCAGAGGCCAGGAGGGAAGAAAGTGCAGTGTGTGTTCAGAAAGCAGTCGGCGGCCCTTGTCTAGCTGAGGTGGGGACCGCTCAGGTGAACCTGGAAGGGGGCACATTGCGTGGGCTAAGGCATTTGTCATTGGCTGGTCGGCAAGGAGGACAATTGGAGATTCTCCAGCAGGGGGGTGAACACGTCAAGGTGTGCTTTGGGCAAGGTCAGTCTAGCAGTGAATGGGAGCGCTCTCAGTCATCTGGGTGCGAAGCCAGGCTGGTGACGGGGGCATGAGTGGGAAGGTAAGGATGTAAGAGTCTATGAAGGACAGATGCATTTATCTTTTAAGCCAGAAATTCCGCTGCTGGGACTCTTTCCTAAATACACACTTACAAAATAACATATGGGTGAGGTTAGTATTTGCAGCCTTGTTTATGATGGTAAAAGATTGGCAACAACCAAGTGTACTCGTCACTGAAGGACTAATACACACAATGGGGGTACATGCAGCTTTACAAACAGCGTGAGGAAGCGCTGTATACTAACCACGAGGGAAGGATCCCCTGGACGCAGCTTCAGGCAAAAGAAAACACACGCTGTAGGACAGTGTTTGTCCCGTCTCCTTTTGTGTGAAGGAGGGGAGAGAAAGGAGAATATGTGCTTGTATTCACATAAAGAAACACTGAAGGAAACACAAGAAAGAAAACGAAAGTTACCTGGAGGTTGCTTGCGGCAACAGGGAATAGCATTCGAAGTGAGACCCCTCGACGTTTTCCTTTTCAAATAGTTTTAACTTTTGAACTCTGGGAATGTATTACCTATTCAAAAATGATCGTTAGAAAAAGACTGTGAAGGAAGAATTGGCAGGATGTGGTATTGGATTTGTGGTTGAGGGAAAATGAGGCCCCAAAATGACTGTGAAGTTCAGGCCCTTCAAGGTGCCATTGTGAGAGATGAGCAGGTCAGGGCAGGAAGCAGAGCAGGAGGGGAGTGGTGGGTCTGGCTTTGAGATACTGAGTCTGAATTGTGATAGAGAAGTCTGCTAGTATATTTTCGCTTGGTGCCGGGAAGCTGGGACCAGGACTTGGGAGAGAAGGGGAGTCACGAGCCTAGGGGAATAGCTGAGACCCGAACTAGGGAGGGGACATGGACAATTGTAAGCTTGTTGGCCAAAGTTAAAGTTGTAGGAGTTGATAAAGGTTCGTGGAGGAAAGAGAAGGAAAGGAAGAAACTGAAAGGCAGACCCTTGGAGACCGGACATGTTAATGGAAGGGAGCAGAGGGCCCTGGTAAAGAGAGGGCAGAGAATCGATGAGAGAAGGTTTATCAAAGAGAACTGAGTTGGTGCAGTGCCTTGGGCACCAAGAGAAGCCAAGCAGCTAAGGTGTCTGATGCTGCCGCGAGGTGGGGGTGCAAGCAACCATGACTGCATTACTGGGTAGTGGGTCTTTGGGGACCTCAGCTCAGAAGAACTGTTTTGCAGAATGGTGGGAGCAGACGCCAGATCCCAGGGATGAGGGGAGGGAGTGGGCCAGTAGACCAGGCTATGTGAGCTGCGTGCTGCATATTGGATGGAAGGAGGGCAAAGAGGAGGGTTGCTAGGGAAGGCAGAAAAGTCACCTGAAGAGAACTTCCTAAGAGGAGGAGACTCAGGAAGATTTTAGGCAGCGAGGAGAGAGCTAGTTAGAGAGTTTGAGTTTAAAAAAGATGGAGCAATTGATGGAATGAGGGTCAGGAGGCAGTTAACGAGAGAGCACAAGGCTTTTGCAAAGCAGAAGCCACCTCGGGCACACTGTCTCCACGAGTTCAGGAAGGAGAAGACATAATGTGGACAAGCAGGTTCATGATATTTTGTCTGCTATTAATGAAGCATTGAATTAATCAGTTAGCCTGTTACTACCAGGAACTTTCCAGGTATCTGGGGCTCTATTATTAGTGTTGGAAAATATAGGAAGAGAAGCATCAGTCATGAACCCTACCTTCTCTGTCTAATTGGTTAAAAAAAAAATCCGGTATAGGAACAGCAGGGAATGATAAAAACCAGGTGATCTGACCTGCAGGAAGCCTAGTACTTACGTGAAGTGAGTATGCATTTGAAAAGGCAGCCTTTTATAGAAATTCTGTGAGCAGCTTTTTGAGAAATGCCTGAAGTGCATAAGGACAAGTATAATAAAATGCTTAAGAGGAATAGACTCTGGTAGTAATGATAATAATGTTGGCTCATATTTATTCAAACTGATTTCATTCCTGTGTGCCAGGTAGTATTTAATCTTTTTCATGAGTTAATTAAGTTGATCCTTGCAACAATCCTACAAAGGCGGTGGGTATTTTCGCTTCAGTTTGATAGGTAAATAAACTGAGGCACAGATAGATGAAATCGTACCTCAGGCAAGCAGTAAGTGGCTAAGCCAGTTCTGTACCTGGAAGCCTACTCCCCATCCTACTCTCTTAATCACGGTGCCACGAGAGCTTCCTAACTAGAGGCGATGACCAAAGGTGACAGCAGCAGCCTCCAAAGACTGAGTAGCTCTGAGCAGATTCTCTGTAACCTGAGTCAGAGTAACAGACGTCAGTGGTGAAATCTTATCCCAACTAAAGCAAAATCATTGATACATTTGGTGGACAATCTCTGGACCCCATTTCCAGCTCATCAGTATGTCCATGTGATTTCTGATTCTCAGGCTCCAGAAGTGACTCTTACAGCCACTCTGATTTTCTTTTGTAGTTGCTGCACTGTTGGTGCAGGGAAAAGGCTGATGCCCTTGGAAGGGCAAGTAAAGGAAAATGATTTGGTCTCGGAGCAGACATTGGAATTGGGGAGGTGGAACTTGGAGTTAGGGAGCAAGATCACTGATCTGTGAGCAGCCTCCATAGAGAGAGAAAGTAAGTCTTGTACATATACATATAGGCAGAGTGTTGTTTTTACATAAAAGAGAGTGTTCTTGCAATTAATAAAAAGCAAGTACATTTCAGAGTATTCCTGATTCTGATTCATCATACTTTTTGTCATCTTTGATTTTTTCTCATGCTACAAAAATATTATCACACAGTGAAGTTTTTTAAAACATAAAAAGAGCTCTTTCTTACTGGAAAACGTTGGAAAATACTTGTCCAGAGCAGTGGTTTCTAAATTCTTGAGAATTAGCTCCCTTATCACTAAAAAAATTTTAAGCACTCTACATAAATATGCATTTATTATAAATTATATATAATAGTATTAAATATTATGAAATATTATAAATATTCATAAAAATAGAAAACAAAAACGATTTTTTTTTAGAGCAGTGGGGTTTTGATTTTTTCCCCACACCCTCATGGTATCTGCACACCTGTAGAAGTACACGCACTCCACTTTGGAGACCAGAGTGGATTCTGGGAAGGGTAAAGAAGTCATTTTGTCTTTAGGATTGTCTTTAAAGTTTACTAAGCTATTTTAAGTCAAGATCCTTGTTCAGTTTACTTAAGTGGTCACCAGCTCAGCTTTTTCATCAGAAGGACCACAGTGTGGGGCATGGTCAAGTGGAGGCAAAGCACTATGGAATGAATTAGCTGCTGAGTTTAGAGGAAAAGTATTCCTCTTGGGGATTTCACAACCAGCACGGGCCCCTAGAGATGGGGAGTGGGGGGAGTGGGCAGACTTGCAAAGCCTCAGAACAAGTTTTGGATTTGTTTTCCATTCAGGAGCCCAGAAGCAGTGCTGTGCTGACCCAGGGGTGGTTTTCAATAGCTCATCCAGTTTCCTTCTTTTCTCATTCCTGTAGACCCGGAGAAGCATCTAAGTGGGGTTCCTGTGCTCCTCATTTATTTTTTTCTATTGAGTTATGGTCAGTTTGCAATGTTGTGTCTCCTGTACTCCTTGTTGACACACTCCCAAGGGCCCACCCAGTGGTGGATAACAACCTATTTGATAAAAAGACTCTTTCCGTTTCCACTGTCCATCGCTGGTAGAGTTTTTTTTTTGTGGCTGCTGCCTTCTTCCTGACCTAACCTGTTAACCTAACAGATCAAATCCAACTTGCTCATCTTGGCATCCAAGACTCCATTTTCCTTACATGTCTTGCAGTTGAAACCCCCCTTCAGTCAGCCTGGTCGTCTTACCGCCTTCCCTAATACTCTGACACCCACCTCTCAGCCCACCCCACCAGTGCACATGGGCACATGTGCGCCCACACACATGCTTATTCTGTCTTTATGACCTTCAGCTGTTTACTCCAAGTGAAAACTCATTTTCCATTCTTCTCCATCAGTCAAAACTCCACCTACTCTTCAGAAAGGAGATGAGTCCCGCCTCCTGTATAAAGACGTCACTAATTCAGTGTTTCTCCAAGTGGGGTCCTCAGACGGCCTACATCACTATCACCTAGGATGGGTGCTATAAATCTGAATCCTTGGTTCTCACCTTAGAGCTTGTGAGCCAGTACTACTGGAGGCCCGGGAATCTGCATTTAACAGGGGACTTATGATGCACAGTGCAACGTCAGTACCACTGTTCTCTGGGAACTTAGGATGCAGCCCTCTCTCACACCAGAGTCCGTTTTTCTCTTCAGTGGAGACCTGTAGAGCAGGCATCTCTGAGTATTCTACAGAGACCTCTTGGCTTCTGGGTCACTTTTAGGGCTCTTCCAGAGAAACTGTTCTCATTGTTGAACTCCTGAAGAAGGACCTGCACACCTGGCACACAGGAGGGCTGCAGGTATCCTTTCCAAGCATCTCTGCTGCCACTGACTGCAGCCAGCCTGTGAAACCAGGCTCTAAGGGTCAAAGGGAGAGCACGCTAAGGGCGTGAGTGTGAGGTGAGAGTCAGGGGCACGGTGGGCCTACTTGGCGGGGGTGAGTATGTTTCCCAGACCCTGGGTGTGCAGAGAGGAGTAATGAAAGTGGACACGAGCCGTGAACACCAGACTGGAGGAGAACTCCTAGGGTACCTTGTTCTCTGCCGGCCTTTCTCTTCTCCAGGGCTTCCCTTTCCCATCAGGGATCACTAGATATGAGAAACAGTTCTATAAACTGAATTCTCTCTAGTCTCCCTCTGTTAACTGGACAAATAGCAGTTCAAGGAAGTGCCCAGGAATGCCATCTTTTAGTTAGAAAACGAGGGGAAACATGCCCCTGGGTTCTGTCTAGTGGGGGTTTGGCATTCTCTTCATCTTCTAAGAGAGGGGCCTCACTGCATTTAGCAATTGGATCCTGTGTGTGTGTGTGTGTGTGTGTGTGTGTGTGTGTGTGAGTGACCAGTCACTAGCTTCATCCTGGATTGAAAAAATCCCCAGATGGAAGTAATTGTTTCCACAAGCCCTGGTCTTTATAGAGCGCCTTGTCCAAGAAGCTCAAAGCTTAGCACTCTGTAGCATAACCTAGTTTGTTCCTGGACGATCTCCATGTGTTTAACAAAGGGGCAGCTTCTTTAATTTTGTTGTTGTTCTCCATCTGGAGGATAGAGAAGTTGTGGGTTGGAAAGGTCACCTGGCGTTGGTGGTAGAGTTGGGCGTGGTAACTCAGCTTCCACCCCTTCTGTATCAGTGATTTCCAGAGTCCACAGACGGAGGCCAGAATGGCTGCTCAAGAAGCACTTGTGGGATTAATTCAAAATGTAGAGTCTTGGACCCCATTCCTCTAGAGATTTTTAACTCAATAATTCGTGACCCAAGAACCTATATTCTTTATGAGCACTCCAGATAATTCTGATGCACTGTCAAGTTGGGAAACCGATCTGAAGACCGTATGACAGCCACACTGCCCTCCGAGCCCACCCTAGGAAGGCCTTTGACAGAAACATGCCTTCTTAATGTTTTTCTTCTTACCCACCCACCCTCAAACTTCCCCAGGCCTCCCAGCTCAGGCCAAGAAACATGCTGATTCCGCCAAGAATACACTGCTGACCTGGAAGGAAAACACGACCTCAGACAAGGAGAAAAAGGAAATCGTGGAAGCTCTGGTCATGCTCTACTACACGCTGGGGGTGGCCTGGCTCCTACAGAACCAATATCCTTCCCTTCCCAGCTGGGTCTGGTGAGCAAGGCCAGGGGCTGCCCAAGCCGGATGGGTCGTCCCACACGGGGCGGGAGAGGCACCCAAGGCCCTATAGTTCCGTCCCAACATCCAGGCCCTTCATGAGCCTCCAGTCTCCTTCTAGAAAAGTATGAGTGTTCCTCCTGTGTCTATTCCTGTAAGCTCTGATTTGAGCCATGGGAGGGATCTCACTGGGGACACATCCATCCTCTGGCCAGTTGAAATTCATTTTTGGAGTCTGTCTTGCTCTTCATTGGACACTCAAGCTGATCAGTATTAGCAAGGAGGACATGGGTGATAGTCCGGGGAGTGTAGGAAGACAGAGAATGGGTGGAAATGTAAAGCCCTGTTTGTCCAACAAGGCACGTTCTATTCCCCTGGGGAGTTTGAAGAATTACTGCTCTTTGGGTCCCACCCCAGAGAGTTTGATTTAGTAGATCTGGGGTGCATCTGTTCCTTGAGATTTTTAAAAGCCCCAGGTGATTGTAGCACACAGCCAAAACCTCTGATTTAATATACTCTTGATCATTTTAGTTTTTCTGAAATGCTGTTGAAAACACTGCCCATGAAACTGGAGGCCAAGCAAAACAGACAAAAGAAAGAGTTCTCCGTATTTCCAGAGGGGGAACTGTTATATATGCCTCTCCTCAAAAAGCTGTGATTTTGACAGCCTTTTGGTACCATCTGCACTTGAAAACTATTCATGAATAATCCTGAGCCCTCTTTGAGCCCATGTGTCCCCAGTCTCTCCTCTCTAAGCTTTCCCCCTCTTGATGCTCAGCTTGCAAAATCTGGTATGTTTCCTTCCTCTCTTTTGCCCTTAGCAGAGGGCTATTAAAAATGTGGGAAATAGAAGGATATTTGGGAATTAAGGGGATTTTCTTTGCTGCTATTTGCCTCTTGCCAAAAACCTGCTTTGCTTGGACTTTCTAAATGGCCCAGAAAGTCCCTTTCAGCAGAATTAGTTCCTCTCTTTTACCATTCATAGAAACCAACTTGGGAAAAAATGAGTAACTGTTGTCACGCAGTAGAGGCCTCCAAGGAAATCTAGTGTTAATTTATGGTTTCCGTTCACTCCGAATGCTCCCCACCCACCCCAGCCCTGGATTCAGACACCACCACAGGACACCCAGGGCCCTGTTCCTTTTCTAAAGCATCCCTTCTACATGACATATACAGATGGAAAACAGAGAACACAGGGAAGTGCCCGTTTTCAAATACTGCTTCCTTTTCCCAAGGGGCCCTTCTGTTTGCTTACTAGCTGCTGTCCTTGCTTCATAGAGTGGGGTGTGTACCCAGCATTTTCCTTGACTGTTTCACTGGCAGGGAGGCTTATTTCAATCTGCAGAAGTCAGACAGAAACATGAAGGAGCTGAAAGAATCATACAAGGGAGGCGTTTGTGGATTACAGGTCTCAGAGAAAGACCTAATGATTGCCTTGGGCAGGTAAGCTCTGTGCCTAGAGAAGCTTGGACTTTTATGAATAAGGCCTGGAAGCACATGGTTGTTCTGTAGTCTCTGTAGAGGGGGAGAAAAACATTCAGAGCAAAGGGACCAGAGACTCAAATGATAGAGAGGCCTCTATTTACCATATGCATCCACTGTGGTCTAAGCTTCGTGTGCTCTGCCCCAGTTAGTCGTCACAGCCACCACTCAGGGCATTGGCGCAATTATTATCTCAGCAGAGAGAGGGCAAGGACTGGGCTGAGGTTAAACAGACAGTCCAAGGAGACGAGCTTTAAGCGTTGGATCTGAACTTGATCTGAACTTAGGGACCCTTAGCCCCTCCTGTGGTACTCATACTTTTTCTAAAATTACCTTTTTTTCCCCGAATTGCCACCTACTTTTGTCATTACATATGTATGACAACTTAAAAGATGAAGAAGGAACGCTTAATCAAGACAGTTAGTTTATTGGCGGTCCAGGAGTTACGCATAGCACAAGCATTTTTAAAGTTCTGTTCCGTATGGAAACAAAGTTCATGTAGTTGGTTCAAGCCAGGACAAGACTTGGCTGTTTTACAGATGGGTTAGGGATCCTCTGAGAATCAGAACGTTTAGTTATGAGAGTGGGCCCATCAGATTATCAGAAGAAAAAAAGAGTAATAAGAGGTCTTATAGTTCCCTAGATTTTTCAGACATCTTCACATCCTTGAAAGCAGGCTATTTCCGGAACTGTAAGCACTTGGCTTGGTAGTGTAAACAACTGAATGGGAAGTAAATGAAATATGTGAGCCATGCCTGTCTCCTCTAGACAACCATGAATCTAGAAGTCACATGGGAAATGATGGGGAGATGTCCCAAAGTCCAGAGTTAAGTCAGACTATTGACTTCAGTCCACGGGGAGGTAAATTAGAGTCTAGTGAGTGTCTACTGCTGTCACGTGGGGCAGTGACTAAGGTTTTCATGTTTGTGCGAAAGGTGGCCTTGTTCCACTTTCAGAATAAATTCTAGTGCACGTTTCATTCATCCATCCACACTGTTGAGTACCTGCTTTGTGCGTGCACTGTTCTAAGTGTTGGAATGGTCACCCAAGTATAACTACATCCTAGACGCTGTTCTAAGTGCTTTCCATAATTTATTTCACTCAGTTTTCTACCACAAGTAGGTATTTTTATTTTTAACTTACAGATAAGGAAATTAAGGCACAGGAAGATTAAATAACTCAAGGAGACACAACTAATAAGAGAGCCAGCACTGGGTCATCTGAATGCATAACTTCTATGCCACACTGAGTTATGTCTGATACCAACCAGATACCTAGTAAGGGCAAATGTTTTTTCCCATTTTAAAGGTGGAGAAAATGAGGCAAGATTCTTCAGGCCAGACAACTTGGCTAATATCTGTCTATAAGCTCTAGATGAAAGGCATCATTCTGTAACTTCTGCTCGTATATTCAAGGGAAATAGTGGTCTAACTGACCCCCCCAATTTTTTTTGTAAAGGATTATCAGATAACATGCTTTATATATTATTTTGATTGAAAATCCTAATCTTCAGAGGAGGAATAAATCTTAACAGCTTAAAATAAATTGTAACTACTGCATAATGCCTTATATAAAGTAATTTTATACACACACTTATATTTTTAATTCAACTTGGAAATACAAAGGTGGGGACTAGGTGTGAGGGGGGAGAAATATTGATTGTGTATCTACTAAATGATAGGCGATTTTATGTATAATTTTAATCTAATCTTCACAACAACCTTGTAGTTTAGGTATTCTTAACCTTGTTTTATTTGGAAGGAAATATAGGTTCCTGGAGTTTGCCCATAAAGCTAATAACTGAGAGCCAGCTTTGCACTAGCCATGTTCTTCTCCTTGTGTCTTGCTATCTCTAGAAAGATAAACCTTAATGAATCCTATTTTATTATCATTAAAAATTTATATTCCCCATTTTGTTTTGGAAATATGAAAATACAAACATATATGAAGAAGAAAATAAAAGTCAGTTGTGATATTGCCACCCAAACGTAACTGCTGTGAACAGTTAGTTATCCTTCTGTCTCTTTCTACATATACAACACACACACACACACACACATACACACATACACACATAATATATACGTGCCAGGATCATATTTTAAATACAGTTATATAACATTTTTAAAGCTGAGCACATTTTGTTTGGGAAAGGATAGCTCAGTGGTAGAGTGCGTGCTCAGCATGCGTGAGGTCCTGGGTTCAAGACCAGTACATCCATTAAAAACATAATTCAATAAACCTAATCACCTCCCTGCCACCACACGCAGAAAATACAAATCTAGATAAAACTTAGCACATTTTAAGTTTCTCCCCATATGAGTTAGTCTAAAAAGAAAACATGATGTTTAATGTCTGAAGTATTTCATCATGTGACATGCCGTAATTTATTTAACCACCCCTTTGGGGGAGATATTCACATTGTCTTGTCTATCCTCTCTTATTTTTAACTGAGGAGGGAAAAACTAAACTTAATCAAACAAAATAAAGGAAAACCTTTGCTTTGGCCTAAAAGAGGAGACAGAGGTAATAAAATTTTATTTTAATTTTAGAAAAATCTGTTTTATGGGTAAATTATCCCATCTTATGAATTACTAGAAGCCTTTTTTTTTCCATTTGCTTTCTTATAAAATTTAGACTATAGCATGATATACTAATGGGCTTGATGAATGGTTGTCAGTGGAATCTGGTTGGTAAAATACAAGTTAATAGGATTTCGTTTTCAGCAAGGCTGGATTTTGAGCCAGCCACTCAGATGATTGACCTATGAAGTCCAAATTGTTTAGTTCTTAGAATCAGTTCCTTTTGTGTCTGCAAAGCAAGTGACTTCTCTGTGACTTTCGGTCCTCATCCCTTTTTTTCCAGAGCCTCCTTGGTCAACCGCAGGCTAAACCTAGCCCTGGCGTACTTTGAAAAGGCCATTGGCAATGTTATTGCTGCCAAGGGTGATAGGACGTCAGATTTGGTCATTCTATACGAGGAAATGGCTCAGATTGAGCAGCTGAGGAGGAACCATGAGCAGGCCATCCAGTACCTGCAGCAGGTAAGTGGGCTGGCTGGAGCCCCGGCCAGGTGGCCTTGTTTGGCCCCAGGACCAGTTCCCTCAGAACAGAAGGTGGGATCGGTTTTCCTCCAGACCCACACAAGAGACCTTCCTCAACCTCAAACGACCCAGACAGAGGATGCTTCTTAGGGGCGCATGTCTGCTGTGCTGCATGACCTAAGGCAACACCCCCCACCCACACCCCCAGCCTCCCTCACCCTGACTGTGCTGGGAAGAGGTGGCTAGCTGAGTGAGTCCACTCTGAGCGAGAAAAGCCATAGGGGCAACTGAACTTAAGTTTTAGCAAACGCAAAGGGCTTTTTAAATGAAAATTTATGGTATTTTGGTGTAATGCTGTCACTCGTCCTTTGAACTAGTCTAGCTGGTTGTATTTCCAAGTCTAAGGTTAAACTAACAAGAGGGTGTTTCGCTTGACACATGTCTGAGGAGAACAAAACAAACAAAGGAATGTTAAGTCTCTCATAATGAAAACAGTGTAGGCACTTTTATGTATCAGGTACTTGAAACTTCTCTCAAACTGCTAGTTAAATTCACCTTTTCCCTCCTCAAATGAGAACCATGCCTGGCCTTCAGGAATCTTCCAAAGTCAAAACCACGACAATATTGGATTTCCTATGTCACAGCATAGGTGCCGTGCCATCCAGCAGTGTATGTAAGAACAGCCTGATACTGAAGAAAAGCACTGCAGTAAATCGGAAGTCCTAGGCTGTTAACTTCACACAATGCAGGAATGTTGAAGAATGCTGCTCTGAAGACAGGGAGTCTGCTGCTTGCAGAGAGAGCCAGCCTGGTTTTTGTGTCCAGGACTTACTCTCTTCTTTCTCTTTCCAAAGTGTTCCTCCTCTAGTTCAGATAATAATAATAATAATAATAATAATAATAATAATAATAATAATAGTAATAATAATAATAAAATCTACACTTTTCTAGGACTTACTACACTCCAGGTGATATTCTAAACACTTTACGTGTATTCAGTCTTTTCAATAGCTGTTTGTGACAAATACTATTTTCGTCACCCCTGTTTTATATTCAAAGAAATTAGTGATTTGCCTCATGTCATAGTAAATGGCTGAGCGAGGATGGGAACCCAGGCAATGTGACTCTGGAATACATGCTTTACTAGACTTTTTTTGATACTGAAATTTTGAGAGGCTGAGTTAAGGTTACAATTTTATTTTTGCTATGAAACCTAATAAAAAATTGTAATAGATAACATTTGTTGAGCACTTACCTAGTGATGGGTACTATGCTCAGTGCTTTACATGCCATCTAATTTAATCTTCCCGACACCTTGATTGGTGGAAACTGTTCCATCTACATATGAAGGTAAAACTACTTGAAGACTCATGGCTAGGAAGTAGCTGAGCGGGGACGCAGACTCATCTCTCTTGGAACTCCATGATTACATATATATCAGCTCTCAATCGGCTAGCAATTCTACGAGAGCTGGTATACAGTCCACAGTGAAACACTGTCATTTGGGTACTTACTTTGTCATGATTTTCTCCATTCCAGGCTCATTCTATCTGTGTTTCTTTGTTCACTGAAGTCAGCCCCCAAGCTGCAGAGGCAAGCGCGTTACTGGCCAAGGCGTATGCCATGTCTGGAGAGGCTCAGCACAGGGGTAGGTAAAAGAGATGGCCTTGCAGAAATCATCGCTTCCCGGTCAGAGGAGGGAAGCACATTGGTGAATGGTCTACCTGTCAGTATGGAGAGATTATAACTAGCTATTCATGCCTGTGAGGGAGAGAGAAGACTGGATACCATTTTGTACAAAATCATTTACATGTGAATTTAGGCACAATAATATCTCCCCAGATTAGTTGGAAATCAAAACCAATAAGATCATTTGATTTCTGTTTCCTTTATTCCCTTAGAGTCTCAGAAAAACTCACCTGCATAAAGAGTAGAGATGGTACCCGCTGTGAATGTGACCTGTGTTGTATCAGTTGATGAGGAAATCCAGAGATAAAAGAGGAAACATGGGCTCCTCCCCCCTCAACCTCCTTGACTCTTCCTCTGGCTTATGAGAGAGAATGTTTGTAGCAGCTAGAATTGTCTTGACCTGTATTCATAAGTGAGGTACTGGGGGTTCTAGAGGAAAGCCAGGTGATGAACTCATCCTTCAGCAGCAGTCCTTTCTCAGGCAGGGTCATCCTTTCCATAGCGGCTGCTTTAGGGGAGACACAGAGGAGCTGGTGACTGATGCTCAGCTGGCTTGATCCGATTAATGGACACTAATGGATTTAGTGGCTTATTAGGAGGAATTTATGAAGAATGTAATTTAAAGCTTTTTAAAATGTTGATTTTCTCTGCTTATAAAAGCAATCCATTTTGGTGGACATTATTTTCCAGTCATACATGAGAGAGAGAAAGAGAGGGGAGATATTACAGGGCAAGTTTTTATCCTACTCTTTTCCACTCTTGTATTTCCCCATGTGATTAAACATTTTTTCAGTTTTCAGAAGTTATTTGGATACTTTGAATATTGTTTTCTTTAGCATGAATGTTCATTGCAGACTCATTTTCTGTATTCTCTAGCTAATTATCTTGCTCCTTTAAAAAATTTCCTTGTGTATGCTCACAGTACTTGTATTCAATCTATATATTTGAGTTTTTAAAAATAGTCTTCATAGTTGTTAAGAAATTTAGTCTGTGGCTATGTAAAATTTGTTTTTAGTGAGAAAAAGTTTATGATTATAGAGTTGGGAGATTCCAAGGCCACCTTCTTTTCTTAAATACTCATTTTTAACATTAAAGAAAATCTGAATCTTCACCTCATATCATCCACTAAATGCCAGGTGGATTAATATTTTTATATCAAAGCTAAAAAATATAAATTAGCTAGAAGAAAATATAGTACTGGAATAAAATATACTAAAATTAAAAATTAGAGGAAAGAAGAACTCTTGAGCTCACAAGGATATACCAGAAAAGAAGAGATTGATAGGTTTAATTATAAAAAGATCTAAAACTTGTGCCTGTCATGAAATACCATAAATAAAATAAAAAACTCAACCAAGATGAACAGATAATTTGAATAAGCCCTAATTATTTTTTAAAAAAATATAGTTAGCATTCCGAGAACGAAATCTCCAAGCCCAGATGATTTCACTGGGTAATTCTACTTCACATTTAGAGAAGGAATAACACCCATTCTACAAAATATTTTCCAGAAAATTGAAGAGATGAGAATACTTCCCAACTCATCTTAGGAGGCCAGCGTTACCCTGATACTAAAATTGGGCAAAAACATGAGAAGAAAAAAACCAAACCAAAACAAAAAAGCCTCTATAGACCAATACCTTTCATGAGCATAGATGTAAAAAAATTCTCGCAAAATATATAGCAGTGTATAAAAAAGAATAATATACCCTGATCAAGTGAGATTTTTCCCTTGAGAATGTCAGGCTGGTTCAATATTAAAACCTGAATCAGTGTACTCTACTGTATAAACAATCCACAGACAAAAAGCGAATAATCTTATCAATTGATGCAGAAAAAGCATGTGACAAAATTCAACATCCTTTTATGATGGAAGGGGAACTTCCTCAATCTGATAAAAAAGCATGTACAAAAAACCTACAGCTAACATTATGTTTAATGGTTTAAGACTGAATGGTTTCCTCTTAAGATCAAGAACAAGGGAAGGATGTTCACTCACTACTCTTATTCAACACAGTGCTGGAAGTCTTAGCCAGTGCAATAGACAAGAAAAAGACACACAGCTTAGAAGAAATAAAATGGTTTCTATTTGTAGACAACATGACTGTCCAAGGAATCTACAATTCCAAGGAATCTGTAACGCTGTGAGAACTAGTCAGTGAGTTTAAGCTTAGCAAAGTCAAAGGGTACAAGATCAACACACAAAAACCAGTCATATTTCTATATTAGCAAGGTACAAGAGGAAACCAAAATTTTTTTAAAAATCACTTATAATAGCCCTCTCCTCCCAAATGAAACACTTAGGTATAAATCTAACAAAATATACAGAGGATCTGTGTACTGAAAACTACAAAATCCTGAAAGATGTCAGAGATGACCTAAATAAATGAAGACATACTGTGTTCATGAATTGGAAGACTCAGTGTCACTTCTTCCCAAATTGATTTATGGATTTCACTCAATTACAGTCAAAATTCCAGCAGGAATTTTTGTAAATATAGACAAGCTGACTCTAAACTTTACGTGGAAAAGCAAACAAACTAAGAAGCTAAAACGTTTTTTAAAAATAGTACAGTTGGAGGAATCACACTACTTGATTTTAAGATTTACTGTAAAGCAATAGTTACCAAGAGAGAGGTATTGTTGGAGGGCTAGACAGGATCAGAATCATTGGAACACAACAGAGAGTCCAGAAATAGACTTAATTAATTATTGGCCAATTTTTGACAGAAGTACACAAGCAATTCAACATTTAAATGATAGTCTTTTCAACAAATAGTATTGGAACAGTTGGTATCCACGTGCCAAAAAAAACGCAAAACCCAAACACTCTCATACCATACATAAACATTAACTCAAAATGAATCACTGTTCTAAATGTAAGAGCTAAAATTTACACTTACTTTACAATAATTAAGAAATAATATAAAACAGCAAAGAGACCAATTTTCTCCTGTCAAACTGTCAACATTTTTAAAAAGATAACACTTAGGATTGATGAGAGCAATTAGAATTACAAATGCCCTGAAAAGCAATTTGGCAGGATGTCACACATCTTAAAACTACATATTTTACAACTATAATGAGATCAAGTCTTCACCCATCCTATATGAAAATTTAAAAAATTTGAAAATACCTAGCATTTGCCAGATTGTGAATAAACAGGTCTGCTCATTCATAGCTGGTGGGAGTGATAGTGTAAATTGATATGAAATTTGGGGCCAATTTGATATCTAGTAAAATTGGAAAGGAAACATGTATAAGGATGTTCACTGTGGCAATGTTTGTAATCGTGAAAAATTAGAAACAAACATCAATAAATGAGAGGAAAATTTGGTGTATTACCTAGATAGAATTCTGTAGTGTTTAAAAGGGCTAGATTTTATAAATGAAAAGGTTAATTTTTAAAAAGAGCATTAAGAAAAAAATAACTTGCATTTTTAGGACACAGAAAATACTATTATTTATAGTTATGTATATGTAAACATGAAAAATGAACTGCAAGTAAGTGAAAGTGCATCAAAATGTACATCAATATGTAAACAGAGGCAGAGACATCTGACCATGGCTTTGTGAATAGGTCTGTGAACCCTCTCAACACACAGTGCGTGCACGCACGCACACGCGCGCGCACACACACACACTCAAACTGAATTAAAAAAAAATCTCAGGGCACTGGAAATAGATAGGCTGACAACAAAGAGCACTCATTTTCAAAATACTGTTAGAGCTTTAGGTAAAGACTGTCATCTTGGCCATCTTGCCTGGGGCTGCTCCCATCCATCCACTGCCCCAGCTCAGTCCAGGAGGAAAGCAATTTTATCAGCCTGGGGCTAGCCAAGAGAAACAGCTTTGCTGGCAGAGGAGGCTGACTCAGTTCACAGCAAGGGGCAGAAACCTGCAGATTTATCAGATAAGAGTGGCCAACTTAGTAGGAAATGAACTGGGGAAAGCCTGAAACTTTTAGCCTGAAGTTGCTGCCCTGGTTGTTGTCAGTTGCAGGCCGGTCATAAATTTTAACCAGAAGAACCTGGAATTGAGAGAGCCACAGAAAGGCTAGAGAAGCTCTCCCAGCATCCCTAGCCAACTGGGAAACTGCGTACACATGCAGGGGACACTGGAGAGTCCAGTGGAAAGTAACAACCGAAGGAGACTCGAAGTGCGGCAGAGCTTTGAATGCGCTCCCCAGTCTACATACAGGTTACTCAACGGAGGATGAAAGAAAGACATAAAGTCCGGAGGTATTTGAGCACAACTTCTTCCCAAGCCAGTGGGTCAACACAAAGCTATGCAGGCACAGGGTCACCCCCAAGAATCCAGACTGAAAATAAAAATAAGCATTAAAACCTGAGCAGAGACTTTCAGTTCTGGCCCAGTATGCAGGGACTTGGAAGTCATCACTCCATCCTAACAACAAGAAAAAAGCTGAACAAACTGAAAAATTGACAACTCTTCTTAGACCTGTCAGAGGAGTGAGGTCACAGGGCATACTGATGGCCCTGAAATTGAAGAGGCAGGTGAATACAGAGATTCACAATTGACCAGAACACATGCCCATCTTCACAGGGACCAGTACTGGGATAGGAAAACCTGATCTGTAGTTGATGAATTTCTGGAAGCTCAGTGTGGGCAAGTCTGAGAGTTAAAAATTCCAAGGGTACTCAGTCATAGGGGAGCCCCCATATTTTTGTGAGTTTTACCTCCGGGAGCTTGGCTAGGTTCTTAAGGTGAATATTGGAGAAAAATCCCCCTTACTTCCAGCAGGTAGAGGAGGGGATAAGTAACCATTTAAAAATACACCAGAGCATTCTGCTTAACAACGCCTGTCCTCAAGAGAAACTTTTTACCAGGCCCTAACTATTGGAGTTTTTTTTCCTGAGCTGAACCAGCCTGGAGAAATGGAAACACCCAACTCCAGCCGCCTCCATCCTGCCCCACCAAAGGGAGACGGGGACTGAGGAGCACTTGTGAAGTTCATAGCCCAGAGGCATAGGCTCACTAAAGGACTGAGACCTAATGATAGGACTGTAAAATGCTTCCCTTCCCCCAGTGCCTCACCACATTACTAAAGGCCTATTTAGAGCAATTCCTTTTATCCTTTTATCCAATTCATCATGCCCAGCTATCAGGAAAAAATTACAAGGAATACTAAAAGGCAAAAGCACAGTTTGAAGAGAAATCGCAAGCATCAGAACCATACTCAGATATGGCAAGGATGTTAGAATTATCAGACTGGGAATTTAAAACAACTGTGTGATGTCCAAGGGCAGGAGAGAGATAGACTGCACAGCTCAAGAAGAGAGAAAGAGAGAATTCTCCCTTCCTCTACCTTTTTTTTTCTTTTTGCTACTTGTTCTATTTAGGCCCTCAGTGGATTGGATGATGCCCACCCACACTGGTGAGGGTGGATCTTCTTTACTCAGTCTGCTGATTCAGATGCTAATCTCTCCCAGAGACACCCTCACAGACATACTCAGAAATAATGTTTTACCAGCTATTTGGGCAACCTTTAGCCCAGTCGAGCTGACACAGAAGTAACCATCACAAACCCACTCCTTGTCAACTTGATACCTATACACATCTCCTTAAACATACTCTCCAAATAAAGAAAATAACAAGGTCATAATTCCACCTGATGTGATAGAACTATCCTGCATACAACTGAAAATGCACCAATCCCTTCCCCAGAAGATGAGGTAAAAGTCTTCAAGGATGTTACTCATCTCCAGGTATCCGATAACTTGAAAGCTATGATGTAAAATTAATGATACTTAAATACTGACATAAAGTCAGTACATCTTATATAACATGATAAGGGAATAAAAGAGGAAAGAAAACAAAGATATTTGCTATATGTATATATATATGCATGCACATATATACACACACACACACACACACACACATACACTAACGTATTCATAACAAAATAAGGAAATACTCAAATTATATTTCTGTAACTGGTTATGTGGTCATAACTGGTATTTATAACGACCTTTTTCTACTACCCATTCTGTATTCCTTTTCCCTTCAACTAGCATCTCAGTTTGTAGTGATTTTTTACCTAGTGGGATGACCCAAATTTTTATTCCTGAATGTTCTGGGCCATTACTAATGTGGCCTGGATTGGGATGTTAATCACAGGGCATGGCCATACTGAGAGAAGCCCTGTGGGATCTCCTGTTTTCCAGGCATACTCTTCCTTACCTCCATTGTGGATTAGTACTCCAGTTTCCCCTTAGTGGTCAGGATCAATCACCCTAGTCAGCACAATGACTCCGTTCCTTGTCTTGTTGATTCAAAGGCATGAGGAACCCAAAATGGCCAGGTGGCAGCCTTAATTAACTTCCAGTTCAATGGAATCATTGTTGTGTCTCCTGGTAGAAGCCCTCCTCCCTCTGGAACTAAGACCTCCAGCCCAGCAGAGCATAAAGTTACAGGAACAGGAAGCAAAAATTTTGCTAGTGGATCACTAGGTGTATTTGATGCTATTCTGATGCTACTCATATTTACACCCCTTCATTCCTAGACCTGTGTATCTTGACTATTGGAGAAACAGCACCATATATTGGATGCTGATTCAGAGTATATATAGCCTTTTGGAGAATCTTGACCCAGCCTTGCAAAGTATTGCCACCTAGCTGGCACTGTAACTGAGTCTTCAAAAGGCATTCCACTGTTCTCTCAAGCCAGCTTGAATTCCAGGAGC